TGAGGTTTGGGAGCAGGAAAATATGATAATCACATCATGGTTATTTAACTCCATGACCTCCCAAATCAGTCATGGGCTCATGTTTCTTGAGATTGCAACCGGGATTTGGGAGAGGATCAATAGAACTTATCTTGAGAGAAGGAATGGGGCCAAGATCTTCTAGCTCAGGTAGGACACTGCCAATCTTAGAGAAGGGGAGATGATGTTGCCTGCTTATTATGCTGCCCTACAAGTCGTGTGTGGGGGGGGAAGTTGGATTATTACTAGGGGTGCAACTTGGGTCAGATTGGGTTGGGAATTTATTAAATTTTCAATGGAACCAAACCCTAACTCGAGCCTAATGTAGTTGAAATTATTCAAGTTGGGCAGCCTGACTTATAGCCCTAATTATTACAAGGTTAATCATTGAAGGGATGTTGAAAATGCTGAATCCATAATTTGACATAATTGGGATGCAATTGTTGGGAAGGGAAGATATCTTACCCATTGATGAGATTCAGCAAGAGGCCTCTAGGAGTTGCTATGAAAACTGGAGTGTTTTGCTCTTGTTTCTGTGGTTAGTGGAAGCAAAACATTGGGAAAAGCAAGTAATTAATAAAGAAGATAAGAATCGTTTGGCTTGTGACTATTGTAAGGGTACTTGGTTCACTGAAGAGACCTGTTTTAAGTTACATGGTTTTCCTTCATGGTTCATGAAGGGGATGTAGTCTTAGAAGCCGAGTGTTCATAATGTTGTGAATGTCTTATGCTAAGCCTTCTACTACTATAACTGAGAATTCTCCTCAAGTAGATCTCCATACTACTAAGGAAGAATTTACTCACATGAGGTGCCTCTTTGCTCATCTAGAATCCCACAATAACAATGCCTCTCCCTCTGTTGGTATTATAACTTCATCCTTTTTTTCATTCAAGTAACCTAAGTGTATCTAGTCACGCTTTTAATGTCTCCTGGTCATTGATTCAGGAGCATTTGACCACATGACTAGTATGTCCACTCTTTTCATCATATCATCCCTTGTCTGGAAATAAAGTTGGAATTGTTAATGGATCTCCCTCATCTATCTTTGGAAAGGTGGATATTCATTTGGATTCTAATCTTACAATATCCTTAATTCTTTATGTACCCTAATCATCTACTAATTTGTTGTCTATAAGACAGATATACCTTAATCATCTATTAATTTGTTATCTATAAGACATATTACCAAAAATTCCAATTGTAAAATAACTTTTTTCCTATGTGTTCTAGGATCCGGAAATAGGGAAGATGATTGGATGTAGACTTGAAGTTAATGGTCTCTACGTATTGGATTCTTCATTTCAGTCATTTTCTTTGCAATCTAGTAGTCAGTGTCCTAACAAATCTAGAATGTATTTGTGTCATTCTAGATTCTGTCATCTTAATTTTTGATCATTGAGATTCCTTTTACGGAGTTTCTAACGTCAATGTTTTCTAGTATGTGTGAAGTTTGCAAGTATCCCAAGCATTGTAGAAAAATGTTTCTTATAAGCAATAAAAAAGTTCATTTCATTTTGATATTATTCATACCAATGCACGTGGACCTCTTCTCGTTATTGCTATGGATGACATTTGGTATTTCATTACATTTGTTGATGATTGTACTTAATACACTGGTTATACATGTTTAAATTACATGATGAAGTTTCTGGAATCATTAAGAATTTGTATAAATGATTCTAACTGAATTTGAGCAGTCCATGAAAATTTTCAGGTCAGATAATGGTACATAATAACTTGAAAAAATATGAACATGCTTTTGGAAGAGAGAGGGTTATTCTCCTGTTTAATCCCTCCTCAGGTTATGTATGCTTTATTCATGTATTAGGTCCACACTGTTCTAAGTTTGATACTAAAGTGGTTAGAGGAGTCTTCTAAGTTTGATACTAAAGTGGTTAAAGGAGTCATTTTAGGGTATGCTTCCACGCAAAAAGGTCATAAATGCTACGATCCTATCACTAGTAAACAGTATGTTTTGGATGTTACTATTTGAAAATACTCGTTCTTTACTCAAGTCTCTCCTCTTCAGGAGGACAATGTGTATGATCAACCTGAAGAGAGATAACTTCCTCTTCTTGTCACCATATCTCTTCCTACTTCTATGTCTCCTTCTCTTTATCTCAAAGCCTCCCTTGCAAGTATACTCAAGACAGCTGAATAAGAGATGATTGTGGAGGCTATTTGTGATAGGTTACCAAAATCACCTCTTTTGGATTCAAATTTTGGTAACCCTCTACCCATTTTTTATTCTTCTCCTATTCTTGTTGACCCTTCTATGCTTGTAGACTTGGATTTAAGTATTTCTCAAAGAGAAAGGATTAGGAAATCTACTTTACATCCTATTTCTAATTTCGTTTTCTACTCTCATTTGTTTTCATCTTGTAAGACTTTTCTGGTTTCCATTTCTTCATTCCTATTCACAAAAATGCCTCTGAAGCCTTGTCTAAACCAAAGCAAAATCAGTCATAGATCATGAGACAGAGGCCCTTATTAAAAATGAAACTTGGGAGTGGTATATCTACCAACAGGAAAAGAACCAATCGGGTGTAGATGGGTTTTTACAATGAAGTTTAATTTAGATAGATCTGTGGAAAGATATAAAGCCAAGTTTGTTGCCAAGGGTTATACACAAATCTATGGCCTTTACTACATTGAAACTTGTGCTCCATTGGTTAAGATGAACTCTATTAGGGTTCTGTTGGTTGTAGTTTCAAATAAATCCTGGTCATTGTATCAATTAGATGTTAAGAATGCTTTCTTACATGGTGACTTGAAAGAAGAGGTTTCTATGGATTGAACAATCACCATTAGTTTGTTTTGATTGATTTAGCAAAGGGATTAAGATATTTGGGTATTTGCCCCCACCACCAAGTGTCAAGGTGATTTTTGGTAAGATTTGCCAGTCATAAAAAAAAAATAAAGAATCCATCTATGGATTGAAACAATCACCAAGAGCTTGGTTTGACTGATTCAGAAAAATGGTTAAGAGATTTAGATATACTTAGAGCCATGTAAATCATATTTTCTTTGTTAACTAGGAGGGAGGCTGATTGATAAAAAAAAAACTGAGGGAGGCTTTACTTCAGCCCTGTTTGTGTATATTGTTGGTATGGTAGTTACAGGTGATCACCATGAAAAAATTCAGCAATTCAAGACTTTCTTAACATCATAATTTGAGACTAAGGACTTGGGAGATTTCAAATATTTCTAGGTATTGAGGTGGTGAGATCCAAGAAGGGCATATTTATCTCACAGAGAATATATTCTTGATTTGCTTGAAGAGACGGGGAAACTAAGGAGTTAAGCCTTCAGATACACTAATAGATCCCAATCATAATCTCAATTGTAGTGATGGTGAGTTGTTAGAAGATAAGAGGAATATAACAAAAGATTTGTGGGCCGATAACTTCTCTCTAACATTACCAGTCATTGCTTATTTAGTTGGGGTGACAAGTTAGAATATGCATATTTATTCTTGTACTTCTCACATGGAAGCAGATGAATAGATTCTTAGATACTTGAAGACCTCACCTGGTAGGGAATTGCATTTTGCTAAACATGGATACTTGCAGAGAAGCTTTATCCATGCTGATTGGACAGGGTCTTTTGATGGTTGACACTACACTTTTGGTTATTACACCTATGGGAAATTTGGTGACCTCAAGAAGTAAAAAACAAAATATGGTGGTGAGATCTAGTGCAGAAGCTGAATTCGGGTCTATGCCTAATGGTATATCTGAATTAATGTGATTGCAGTTATCGATCTTGGTATTTCCTATAATTAGTTTCACTGTGACTGTACTAAACATGTGGAGGCTGATGGCATTTAATCAGAGAGAAGGTTGGCATGAAAGAAATCTTCTTACCATATATGTCAAAATCAAGGACCAATTGGTTGATTTCTTGAGCAAGGGAACTGCCAAGAAGTTGGATTATGTTTTAAGCAAGTTAAGCATGCTTGATATCTATGCTCCACTTGAGGGTGACTATATGTTTGTTTTTTATTTTTAAGCAAGTGAAGCAAGTTAGACCTTTATGTCTGTTTTTTATTTTTTATTTTTTGTCTTTTGTTATTACTAGACAGGGACAGACCATCCATAAGCATAAATAGGGGAGGGTGGGCTGACGATGAGGTCAACTCTATTTTTTCTCATTTTGATCTTCTCTCTTCTTTTGTCTTTCTCTTTCTTTTCTGTTTTCTTCACATATTCTGTTAATTGACTAGGTGTTTAATCATTTTAAGTTTAAAAGGGAAAATTTTCCCTCTATAAATCTTGCTTCACTCTGGACTTTCTTTTCAATAAAAAGTTGTCTTACAAGAAAGATCAAGGAAAGATCTGCAAAAGGATATAATTCTCTCCCTAGATAGGACACGAAATTCTAATTTCCTTAATTAGATGTCCTGGAGGAAAACTTTGGTGCTTCTTCAGCATCCTTGCACATGATACGTCTATTATGTTTGTGAAACTTCCTACTATAGGAGATGAGAATCTTTTTAAGAGAAACCATCCATATATGTTCAATTGCTTGAAGGTGAAGCAACTAGTAAATGAAAACTGAAGAAAAACCTTTTCTATTTTATATCTCATTTCCATATGCAGAAACCACAAAAAGGATTCTTTTAAAAAAAGGTCAATAGTGCTATGTTAATGATATCTCTAACACACCAAACTTCTAGTTGTTAATAATAAGTATTAAATTCATGAAGAATGATAAAAGTATATTGCAACATCATCATTCTGATGAAAAAGATCTAAGTTCCATTTTATTCGATTTGCAGGAATGGGTATTTAGGAACTGCATCTACCATCCTTGCATGCATGAGACTTAAAACTCATGATTATCTGATTGAAACTTCAAATAGCTGTGTAATCCTTTTCCATTAGTGGTAGATCACTTACTATTCTATTTCATGGAAGAATGAAAAAGATTTTAACATTTGTAATGGTAGATCACTTATTATTCTATTAATGTTAATCAGATCAGTTTATTGCCTGTGGCAAATCACGGGACAAGGCCTATGAACTTGCTTCACAAATTTGGTTGGCTGTTATCAACAATTTGGAGGAAAATGAGCAGACATTTCAGTTATTTAAACGTCTCGCATTAGAAGGAGATGTAAGAAGCTATTTATAAGTGATTGCTCTTGCCTTTGTTTTCATTATTGGATCTAGATGACTTTTGTTACTAATAAGTGTGAAATTCTAGCACCACAAGTGTATATTTGGTGTTAATTTTGGGAGCCCATAAGTCTGATATGGAATAGCCATCAGCAGTGTTGCAATTGACTTCATCATTTTTATTACTTGATTGTTATATATATATATATATTTTATCGATGACAGAAATCTTTATTAATGAATAATACTTGCGAAAATTAATTACAGAAAATGGGGAGGTAAACTATCTTAACTTCCCAACATCAAAATGGCAACAAAATACTAAAAATGTGCCCAAAACAAAGARTCCTTAGCCACCCCTTGCTTAGCTAACCCATCAGCCATTGAGTTAGCACTTCTCTTCACCCAGCTGTATTGCACCTCTAAGTCCTTACACAGCCAATTAAATTCTTTCTTCTCATTTCTGTAGCTCCATAAGCCACTGATATCTCCTTTCAGCCACCTGATCACCACCTTCGAGTCCCCCTCAATCACTAAGCATCTAATGCTTAATTCTCTTGCTCTTTGGATTCCTTCAAGAACTGCTAGAATTTCGGCCCTAAGAGAGTCACCCTCTTCAATTGGTCCAGAGAACATGGCAGTAATATACCCCTCCTCATTCCTGAAAACACCCCCTATCCCAGAGGGCCCTGGATTCCTTAAGCTACATCTATAAAAATTCAGTTTTATGAATCCAGCAGAAGGGGGGGTCCAAGTGGGACTACAGTTCCTTTTATACATAATAGCAGTAGCAACCTCTTTCCACTTTCTCAGCATGTCTGCCATAGAGAATTCAGAGAATATCTCCATTGATTTCAGCCAATGAGCAACCCTTGAAAGTATCAAATCTGTTAGGTTTTCTGTGGTTCTTTCCTTRTCTGAAAAAATTCGTGAATTTCTTTCTTCCCATATTGACCAGCACACTGCAGCCCTAATGCTTCTCCACATAATCTTCCCCCTTCTCTTAGGCCAACTACAAAAAGAAGGAGAGAACAAGCATTGCACACTCACGGGGGGATTCCAAGTATACCCAAAAAGGGAAAACACCCACTCCCAAACAATCTTTGTAACTGGACAAGTAACCATAATATGATAACCCGTTTCCCCATCAGCTTTGCAAAGAATACACCTATTGGGAAGTAAACAGCAGTTGGGCCTCTTTCTTTGAAGCAAGTCATTTGTGTTAACTCTTTCCAGGAAAATTTTCCAACAAAAACTACCAACCCGAGGAGGAATGGGTTTGCTCCAAATATCATTAACCGGGAATGATAGCCCAAGCGGAGTAGTAGGTTGGACTAATGTCTCAAAAAACGAAGCACAAGAGAAAGAGTCGGATGAAGAAGGGGTCCAGATTCTGGTGTCTCCCTTACTAGGGTTCAAGAAAACATTTTCAAGGATGGTTAGCAAAGATGGCATACACCCCAAATCTGTATCCCTTATTGCCCTTCTCAACCCTAGATTCCACCCAAACCCAGAAAAAGAATTAGAAGGAACCAAGGAGGAGGAAATGGGTTCATTTTTCAAATCTGACAAAGCAAACAATGATGGAAATTGGTCTTTCAGGGGTAGGTCCCCAACCCAAATTTGCTCCCATAATTTTATTTGGTTTTCGGAGTTCAAATCGTACCTGATCCAAGGGGAGAAAACTGGAAGCAGATCATGAATGGCTTTCCACGGGGATGCGGCAGTAGTCCTTGCCAAAATTCCAGGATCCCAGTCATTCTCATCCAGCCCATGTATGCTAGCCACAACCTTCGTCCACAATTTGTCCCTTTCCAGCGGGAATCTCCACAACCATTTCCCCAATAATGCCATGTTCCTTTTCCTAATATTCCCAATCCCAAGCCCCCTAGCTCCTTGCTCCTATTTACCACTTCCCACCTCACCCTATGGTCTTTCTCCACTCCTGGTTCCCATAAAAAATCTCTCATTAATTTTTCTATCCTATTGGAGACCTTTGTAGGAATCTTAAACACTAACATGAAGTAAATAGGAAGGTTGGAAAAGGTAGACCTAATCAAGGTGATTCTCCCCCCAAGAGAAAGATAATTTTTCCTCCAAGAAGCAAGTCTTTTCTCAAATCTCTCTACTACCGGCTTCCAAAAGCTTTCATTCTTAGGGCTATCTCCTAGGGGGAGGCCCAAATAAGTGATAGGACACTCCGAGATAGCGCACCCTAACACACCTGCACAATCACTTACTTCCCTTTCCTCCAAATACACACCCACCATACAACTCTTATCGAAGTTCACTTTAAGATTAGACATCTGCTCAAAGAGTTGTATTGTCAGTTTTAGGTTTTTGATCCATCTTATATCCCCACCCTCACAAAATAGGATTGTGTCATTTGCAAACTGCAAGTGTGTAAGTGGTACTTCCCCCCTCCGACTCTCCAACCTCTTATTAAGTCTCTAGAGTCGGCTCTATGTATCAGTCTCCCCAGGACATCTGCAATCAGAGTAAAGAGAAAGGGGGAGAGCGGATCACCTTATCTTATTCCTCTCATGGCCGGAAAGAATTCCACCACAATTCCATTCACCAATATTGAGTAATGGCAACTCCTGATACAACCCTAGATCCATCTACACCATCTGTCTCCAAAACCAAAACTTTTCATTACCTCCACCAAGAAGGACCAGTCAACTAGGTCATAAGCCTTCTCTAAGTCTAGTTTGCAAACCACTCCCTTTTTCTTGGATTTCCTAAAATTCTCTAAGCTCTCATTTGCAATCAAAATTTGACCAGTGATCTACCTTCCCTTCACAAAAGCTCCTTGATTGGGTGWGATAATGGCTGGAAGAACTTTCTTAATTCTTAGAGACAAGACTTTTGCAATTATCTTCTACAGACTATTCACCAAACTAATCGGCCTGAAATCCCTTAGATGTGATGCCTCTTTCTTCTTAGGGACCAATGCAATGAATGTGGAGTTTAACCCTGGATTAATGATTCCCCTCCTGTGGAACTCCTCAAAAACCAACACTAGGTCCTTCTTCACAATATCCCAACAATACTGATAAAATGCCATTATAAATCCATCTGGGCCTGGAGCTTTCGTTCTATCCATTGAAAATACTGCTTCCTTTATCTCCTCTAAGTCAAAGTTTTTCTCTAACCCCACTCTGGTTTCTAAACTAAGAGTTGGCCATTCCAGCCCCTCCACCCAAATCCTCTCATTTAGAGGCCTTCCAAAAATTGATTTAAAATGGGTTACAAAAGCCTCTGCTATTTCTGCTGGTTGGGAAAGAACAACTCCATCAACTTCTAGCTTAGAAATGATATTCTTCCTTCTTCTAGTGTTTGCCACTGAGTGAAAAAATCTAGTGTTTCTGTCTCCCTCCTTTAACCATTACATCTAGACTTTTGTCTCCAACTTATCTCTTCTTGCAATAAGAGATCCTCCAAGTGCTTTCCAACACTCCATCTCAATTCTCTGTCTTCTTCTCCAAAAGAACCCCTTTCCTCCTTCAAGTCCAGTTCCTCAATTTGCTCCATTAAAATCTTCTTTCTTCCCTCCACTCTTCCAAATTCCAGACAGTTCCACTCCTTTATTTGAGATTTTAGGAATTGAATCTTTTTGTGGAATCTCATCCCCTCCCATTCAACTAACGGATTGTGTTGTTCCCACAATTCTTTGATCTTCTCTATGAATCCCGGATGGATCAACCGCATATTCTCAAACCTAAAGGGAGTAAGTCCACCTCCTCTTAAGTCCTCCTTACACAACACTATAGGCCAATGGCCTGAAGTGAGTCTAGGGAGTGCTCTATAATTTAGGTTCCCCCAATGCTCCTCCCAATCTGTTGAGAACAAGAATTTATCTAACTTAAAGTAGATTGAGTTAGATTGAAGGTTGGACCAAGTGTAGATATTGCTTTGGATCGGGAATTCCTTAAGCTCAAAAGTATCCACAAACTGATTGAAATTTCTCATGCTAGTTGTCACTCTGTTTGGGATTGTTGGTTTCCTCTGTGAATCTTACTACATTAAAGTCCCTCCCCACACACCAAGGTCCTTCCCATAGGTCCCTAATATCACTCAATTCTTCCCATAACCTCTTCCTCTTCCTATAGTCATTGGGGCCATATACATTTGTTAGTATCCATTCAAAACCATCTTCCACCTGCCTGAATTTCATAGAAATTGAATGATCCCCTATCATTTCTTCCAAACCTACCACCACATCTTCCTTCCACAATGTTATGATCCCACCCGAGGCTCCCCAAGATGGAGTAGCCACCCACTTTATCCCTTTAGAACTCCAGACACTTCTTGCCCATCTACTATCGAAGTCCATTCTCTTGGACTCCTGGATTAACACCACATCCAGATTGAACTTCCTAATTACTTCTTTGATAGTTGCTCTCTTCCTTGCATTACCCAATCCTCTCACATTCCAGTTTAGAATTCTCATCTCAACTTTAGAATTTAACCCTAAAAAAACACCAAATATCTATTTGAATCCTTTCCTTCTATCCCCTCTCACCCCAAACTTTTTATCCCCCTCGATATCTCTCTTTAATCTCTCCACTTTACTCAATTTTCTTTTCTTAATATTGTTCTCCTTTCTTTTTATTAGGGAAGCTTTTAGATCATTTAGATTCTTCAACTTACACCCCAGCTTTCCAACAAATTCAGCTATCAAATCATCCTTCCTAGTCTCCTTCGCTCTTTCATTTCTGTTCTCTTCATAACTAGTCATCTCCTCCATTCTAGCCTCCTCCTCATTGCACACCAGCTCAGACCCATTTGTAACTCTCCTTTATAGCTCATTTTCCTCAATTTCACCCACTATGCTCTCAATGATTCCCCATATTCTTTCTTCCCTTAAAGTTCCCTCCATCCTCACCTCTCCCCCCTTCTTTCCTTGAGGACTCAGTGTGGTCTCCTTCTCATGGGCTTCTGAGACTAGACTGAGAATGGAATCTGGAACAAGAGAAGCAGAAGCCGCATCAGTAGCAAAAGCTAAATGAACAGGGTTAGCAGGGTTACCTGGGTTCGGCTGGGCAAAGGGAATTGGGATTGTAGGCGGACAGATGGTTTTCAAGCCCTGTGTGTCAAATTGGGAGTTTTCTGTCTCCTCGTTTTGGAGGGAAATATTCCCCGTCATTCTGTTTTCACAACGACTGCTACCTTACCCGATTGTTTACCATTATGTGATGTATTCTTGCTCAGTTCTGGATTAACGTAAGCTAACACCTCAGTTTTCCGTACAGCATAGCGCTTGAGAGAGGCTTTTCCAGTTCTGGGCACCAGAATTGCCCCCCACCTCTTTGATTGTGAGCTCTTTGTTTTCAGCCTCTGTGTTGTGCATCTCTGCCTCCTCGTTCCCTTCTTGTTCTCCCACCAAATCTCCATGGAATAGGCAGTCCAAGTTTAGGGACTCCCTGTTATGATCCTCTTGAGATCCTTCATCTTTTAAGCTTCCAAAACTTGAAATGTCGTCTGAACTCTCCTCCTCAAAGTCACTGTCTGAACCACAGCTTCTCCACCCTTGGTCTTCTACATCCCTCTCTTCTTTCTTATCCCTCAAATAGCGCGGATTAGGGCGATCTGCTGCCCTACTTTCCCGTTCCTCAACACCCAGTCGAGGGACCCAGCACAGAGATCGAGTTTCTTTCTCTGTTCGGCATTTTTCCTTTTGCTTCAGTTCGGCCAGCGCTGTTTTGGAAGATGATAGATGGGATTTTTCATCTATCATCTCCCTCTTTCTTTCCTGACCCACATGACAACTTAAAGTGTCACGTGGGCCTCTAAGAATGTTTATGCTCTCCGGCTCACCCAATCTTCGAACCGGCTCAGAGTGTGCGCCCTGGTTATTACCATCCAAACCCAAACCCCTTCTTGCCACATCAGCATAGGACTGTCGACCATAGCCAAAAGTCTTTAGTTCAAACAAATTTGAATTAATTGCTTTAAATGGAGTGCTTTGGAACCGTTTAACCTCCTGTGACTGTTCCCCTTCTGTTTTCATTGTACCAGTCTTCTTCTTCAGCCCCTGAAAGCCACGTGTACTCCAACTGGCCACCTCAGCATCTCCCTTTACAGCTGTTCGTCTTCCCCAAAGCGACGCCTCAGCTTCTGAGGCAATCCAAACTTTGTACCAGGCATCATCCGAGCATATCTAAATTGAACAGGGCACTTGTTCTGGTTTCAATCCTGCAACTCTAAGTTCCACTGCTCGCAAGCTCCTCTAGTTTATCTCCAACACTACTCCACCCAAGGTTTTTGCTATTTTTTTCAAAAGTTGTTTCGTTCCAGAGGTGAAAAGGAAGTCCTAGCAACTTAATCCGAAAGCTACCTTCTTCTGGTTCGATTTCATTACAGATTGGGACCCATTTTTGTATCTGTACCAATCCACCATCGATCTGTATCGTGTTGAAGCTC